TTCAGACTATGTTATGCCAGAGTATAAGATAGTTTATATACACATAGGACAAGACTGTAATGTATATTATTTCCATCCCACATTCATGTGAATCACTTTTAATTTTCTATCCCCAAATGGCTGGAGATTGGATATTTTTGCTAGTTATTCCCCTGTTTCAGTGTCCATTTGCTCCAGAAAAAATTCCCTTCTGGCAAAGGTACTGCAACTGAGGCTACTGTTTGGTTGTGTTTAGAGCACAGTATCATCAGTTGGCACAATCCGTCTCGTGTTTGAAGGGGCCAGAATAGTGAATTAAATGGAACTATTATGAGGACCCTCATGTCGAAATTTAAGTCGTTAAAGTAGTCACTAATCTCTAACACCCCAGTGTGTGATATTTAAATCCTTGTTTTGATATAATTTTAAATATACAGAAGAGTTGCAAAATAGTATAGAAAGTTTCCATAACAATTCACCTAGTTTACATAATCATGTTAATATCTTTCACAATCACTTATCAAAACTGAGAAATTAACAATGAGAGAATACCATTATTCAACTAGAGACTTTATTCAGATTTTACCAGATCATGACCTTTGTTGTCATTGTTCCAGAACCCAAAGCCTCATACCACATTGCATTTAGGTTTCATGTTACTTTATACAAATTAAAACCACAGGAGATGCATGCATGTCTAATAGAATTACAGAAATGGGAAAAAAATGACAATACCAAGTGTTGGCAAGAACGTGGATCAGCTGGGATTCTTATGCATGCCTGGTGGAAATGCAAAATGGCATAGCAACTTGGGGAGATCATTTGGCAATTTCTTATAAAGATAAGCCTATTAGGTGGCTTTCTCTCTCTTTCTCCACCTCTTTTCCCACCCCTTTACCCCAAAGATATTTTCCTTACCTCTCTCTTTCCCGTTAGCTCTAAAGGCCCTTCTTTTGCCTCTGTAACTTGTTTTCTGAATCTATTTCTTCTACTTATATGGCTCACTTCTATTTCTGTGACGTTCTAAATAAACTTTTGCTTCTACTAGTATTTGAGTATGGGCTCTAAATTCTTCCTTAGCCAAAACTCAAGGGAACCGAGGTCCGGTCCGACTCCATCGGTCTCACACCTGGTGCCATTTCCCTGCCAATGCTTAGGGACTCAAGCAATAAGTATGGTGATGATCCAAGGTAAAAGGAATATATCAAGATAAGAACTGCACCTGCCCTTTGCCTCAGCAATTCCTAGGTAAAAGCTTGAGAGAACATTAATTTGAAAAATGGATTTCTCAGTTGCAGGGCTGCATATGTCCCATTGAAATCATCGATAAAGATGATTCTGATGAAAGGAGCGATTTTAAGGGTTACTAAAGAAAGAGCCCACGTCCCTGGTGGGGGGTAAGGAAGTGGATGGCGGAATTGTGACATCTGGGATTCCGACTCCCATGTTCGTGAGCTGATTCACCTACCAGTCAAACAAGACTCTGTCCAGAGCAAAACCTCTGAATGCAGAAGGAAGAAATGGCTCAGGAATACTCAGCCTTTCCGTCCCATGCTGTCACCCTTGGTTCATTCGGATTCACTTCTGCCATTTACCCTCCTGGATATTCAGGGGATGCAGAGTTCTTAAAAAACTCGTATTACCCAACAAACGACCCGTTAGAAATATAGACTATAGGGCCACACAAAACCTGTACTAAAATTACTAGATGTTTACTGTAGCTTTACTTATAAAAGCCCCAAACTGATAAAAACTCCAATGTCCAGAAACTGATTAATGTACAAAAAAAATCGGGGTACAATATAATGAAACACTGCTCAGCAATAACAAATAATAAACTAATAAATACATAAACATGGGTGAATCTCAAGTCTTGCAGAAAGGTACATATTATGTAATTCCATTTAAATAGCATTCTGGAAAAGATCAAACTATTGGAAGAGACATCAGAACAATGGTTGCTATGAACCAGAGCTTGGTGAAGGGTTGACTGAAAAAGAAAGGAGGCAAGCTTAAGGGGTGATGGTGATACAGGAATTCCCCTGAATTTTAAAGTTCATGCTTTAGGCACTTTGCTTTTATAAAACACCTACATCAGAACCTTTTTTCCTAACCAAAAGAATCTAAAAAGGATTTTCTCTTTTCCAACAAAAGGCAAAAAGCACAAACAGCCCTGGGTGTGTGTTTTGCAGCAGCCCTTACAGAGGCAGCACCGGGAGCAGCGAGAGTGGCCCCGCCCAGCTCTTTCACTGGGAACCACACTCAGCATCAAGCCGCCATCACCTGGAGCTGTTGTCTGTGAGCATCTGCACTTTATCTCCATTCATTTTGTGCATCTGTTAGCAAGATGGGCGCGACTTTATCAGAAAGGCCTAAGGGAGCTCCTTACATGTTTTATGTTTAGTGTAAAAGTGAGCATATTGTTTTGATCACAGTGAACGGAAGACGTTGTGTGTGCATTGAATTTTGGGTCCAGGAGGCTAAAAATTATTTCCACATAAATTAATGACAAGTGCTTCTTCATTTTGCACCATTTTGGCTTACAAAAGTTTTTGTTTTTGTTTTTGTTTTAAATAAAAACGCTCCACTTTCAGGTAGTGGGGGGAAAGCAATAGCTTATATTTTTACTATGGTGGTGGTGACTGTATATATTTGTCAAAACTTACCAAATTAGGATTGTGCACAAAGGTAAATTTTATTATGTAAATTATAAAACAATAAACCTGACCAAAAAGAAAAGAAAGATGTAGCCATCCACACTTATTGGTTCAATTTTTCATGCCTTAAAATGAGAATCATTTGATAGAAAGAATAATGGGTCTTAAGAAATTAACAGTTCGAACAAAGGACAAGTTCATGCTGCTTCTCTGCCTCCATGAGCACTGCGCAGGTTTCTCTTGAAGTTTCTCAAGGAAGCTCATGCTTTTAGAACCAGTAGTTCCAGGTCACCTGCCCATGGAGGACTCAAACATGTGCAGAGTCTACTAGTTGTTTTATAGTCGGATTTATCCAGCTCTAAGGCTTGTAGTGAAAATTTCAAGACAAGTTTGATCCTATTGTTAGAAGACAGATGCTCTAAGTTCCCCATCCCTAGGTAGAGTGAACTCCCCTAGCCCACTACTCCATTCCTGCGAACATTGAGCAAAGTGGCGTTTCTAAATTGCCGTGACTGAAGTCTTAAAGAAGCAGGCTACTTTACGGGGCCAGTGCTCAAATGTGCCCTTGACACTGAAGTTTGGTCTACCTATTGTATTTTACCAAATGGTAAATTGAAAATCGGAACTGAGCTCCTAGGTAATGGACATTGTTTCTAAGCAAAGGCCATGCATGCAGATGAGTACCATCTGAAGGGCAATTAGGAGTTTTAAAGTCAAATGACACTTATATGGCATTGTACTGTATGAAATTCTGAAAGCTTTTTGATAAACGGCAGTAAAAGAGATGAAATTGAATGCCAATAACAGAAAATGTGACTCATATATGAGATATGATCCTTCTTGAATGGCCAGGTTCAGACACTGTGGGTGTCTTGTGTGATTCCACTGTGGGGAAATGATAGGTTTCTTGGTATTTACAGGGGAGCTGATGCCTGAAAAGCTGGAAAGGAATTCTCGGTAGTAAATGTAAACATATTTCATTGAGTAAGATCATGTGCTACAGTAGTTAAGAGTTTGGGATTTGGAGTATGGCAGACCTTGATTGAAACGTTAATCTGCTATTTTCCAGTAAGTGACATGGGATGAGTCATTAAAAGCTCTCTAAATCCCCATTCTTTCCTCTGAAAGCAGGAAAGACAAACATTATTAACAAGGTAAATTAAAGATGGCATAAAATATATGTCACACACCTAGTGTGGTGCTGGCTCACAGAAAATGCTTAAGAAGTAGAAGTCAGACTTTTGTAATCATCAATAGTATCATTTTTAAATTTTACCTCAGAACTAAAAGGATGCATCCACTCAGGTTTCAGTTGCACATTGGGTAGGTCAGAATATTTTTGTTTCTTGATATGTGCTGGTTGGATGTTTGTAGATATGTTTCATTCACCTGCATCACCCAGATCTACTGAATGAAAAATAACAGCTCTGTGTAAGCCAGAGCAAGCATCTGAATGTTGAGACTATGGAGGATAAAATGTTTATTCTATAAATATACTATAAAAATAAATTTAAAGTTATTAAAATTGATGTAAAAGAGCATGAATGAGTTATTTGTCCCTCCAAGAAATTAAGAGAACACAAAATAAAAATATAAATTGATGAAATAACTAGGGATACTGCTGAATCACAGGAAAATATATTTTCTATTTTTTTCTCCCAGTTCATTATATATTCAAACTATAAGCCCACAAACTGATTGTTTAAAAGGAACCACCATATATAATCAGTAAAAATTAGACAAAGGTCTTAACGGTATAGTTTCTTTCCTTCTCTTATTTTATTATTGTGTTTCTTTTACCAAAATGTAACTTGTGAGAGCTTAATTTTGTGTTCCCATTTGAGATGAAGCTTCGAAAATTGCAGGCTTATCTGGCAGATAGCGGAGGACATCTCCGTCTATATTATAGGATAAAAGTATAAAGAAAGCATCTAACCACCTGCTTCCCTACCCTCTCACCATTAAATTATACTTAAAGCTAAAGGAAACATTTTAAATCATCACTGGATGTATTGCACATGCCAAGACTTCAAACAATTTCCTTATATATAGAAGAGCTCTAATGGAGAGATATATTTAACCAGGGGCTAACTTACACCTCACACTTACCAGGAACTATGTACAGGAATTTCTCAAGAATCTGGTTATGGGCTCTCTGCTCCTCCTGTTTATCAGACAGCCTCTCTTCCTGCGCTGTGCCAGCAGCCACAACCCTGAGACACGGTGGTGAAGGTCGGAGTGAACGGATTTGGCCACATTGGGCGCCTGGTCACCAGGGATGCTTTTAACTCTGGCAAAGTGGATATTGTCGCCATCAATGACCCCTTCATTGGCCTCAACTACATGGTCTACATGTTCCAGTAGGATTCTACTCATGGCAAGTTCAAAGGCACAGTCAAGGCTGAGAATGGGAAGCTTGTCATCAATGGAAAGTCCATCAAGATTGTCAGCAATGCCTCCTGCACCACCAACTGCTCGGCCCCCCTGGCCAAGGTCATCCATGACAACTTTGGCATTGAGGAGGGACTCATGACCACAGTCCATGCCATCACCACCACCCAGAAGACCGTGGATGGCCCCTCTGGGAAGCTGTGGCATGATGGCCAAGGGGCTGCCCAGAACATCATCCCTGCTTCTACTGGTGCTGCCAAGGCTGTGGGCAAGGCCATCCCTGAGCTGAATGGGAAGCTCACTGGCATGGCCTTCCGTGTCCCCACCCCCATGTCGGTTGTGGATCTGACCTGCCACCTGGAGAAAGCTGCCAAATACGATGATATCAAGAAGGTAGTGAAGCAGGCATCAGAGGGCCCCTCAAGGGCATCCTAGGCTACACTGAGGACCAGGTGGTCTCCTGTGACTTTAACAGTGATACTCACTCATCCACCTTTGATGCTGGGGCTGGCATTGCGCTCAATGACCACTTTGTCAAGCTTGTTTCCTGGTATGACAATGAGTTTGGCTACAGCAACAGGGTGGTGAACCTCATGGTCCACATGGCCTCTAAGGAATAAGAGTCCCCTGGACCACCAGCCCTGGCAAGAGGAAGAGAGGCCCTCAGCTGCTGGGGAGTCCCTGCCCAGATCAATCCTCCAACACCTGACCACCGTTTCCAACCCACACCCTCTGAAGAAGGGGAGGGGCGTAGGGAGCCCTACTTTGTTGTGCACCATCAATAAAGTTCACTGTACCCAGCCAAAAAAATAAATAAATAAAGAAGAATGTGGTTATGGTTTTTCACCTAGAGAGGCAAGAGGGCAGGTGAAAGAAACAGTATTTAAAATCCCTCTTGGTACTGCTGATGGGTAATACTGATGAGTCCTTGTTTGGAGACAGTGAAGGTTCCAGCTGCATCCTCAGCCACAGGAAGCAGTCCTCAGCTGGAGAGATTCTCTCTTCTGATGTGGCAGCAATTGACCAGAAGAGATGCTATTTCTGTTCAAGCAAAAAAGTCATATAGAGAAATCAGCGCAGCTCAGAGACTTTTTCAACAAGCAAACCAGAGAGAGACAAATGCCCTCGCTAAGTAGCCCACATAGCCTGCTCCCACAGCACAGTTTTGGACCTCAGAATTCACCATGTCAATTTGCACCAACTAACTGTTGGGGTTAAGGTCTGATCAAAGGATACTACTAGAAACCAAGCAGTACTACAAGGAAAGAAATAAGGAAAATGAGTCCACCCTATATATGGACACACACCTAAGTGATCTAGATGGAGATCCCCTTATTCAGAGTAATCATTTAACAAAAACTGGCATAAAACCCATTAAAAAGTCAACATCAATAAAGAGGGAGAATTATGTAACTAGAAAGATGCAGAAGCATATGTATGTGTATATGCATCTCCAGTCCTATATCCATATCTATATTTATATGTATATTTTCATATATGTATATGTATATCTAATATGTCTATATCAAATTATAAAAGTTGCCTGCCTTATTCAGATTTTGTGTGCTGCTGATATTTCTTAAACTAGACTTTATTAGAGAAGGTTATAAAGAACCATGTGAAGATTATAAGTAAAAGATACAAAGACAAACACTTATCAGCACCAAACAAGATGCTCTGGGTGACATTCCCATGGGATCTGTCCTTGCAGAAGGCAAGCAGCCAGCTCATACGGAGGCCTATTTTGTGCACATATATGTTTGTATACATATGTAGACCACTTCTGTTTATTGCCCAAGTCATCAGTAATCTTTTTCTTTTAAATATATTTTTATTTATTTCAGAGAGAAAGGAAGAAGGAGAGAGAGATAGAAGGAGAGAGAATCATGGATCACCTGCCTTCTGCATGCCCCTTACTAAGGATCGAGCATGAAACCCGGGCATCCACCCTGACCAGGAATTGAACCGTGACCTCCTGGTTCATAGGTCTACCCTCAACCACTGAGCCACACACACCGACTGGGCAGTTGTCAGTAAGGTTTGATTGCTACAAGCTGTAATAGCATATCTGAACACCAACTTGTTCCCTGTTGTGGTTGAGACATATTTTAGACCAAGATATGGCTTCCTAGTAGGAGCCTCTTACAGTTAGGATTTTCCTCACAGAGATGTGAGAAAGCATTGCCCCTGACAACTGGCTTTAGTAAATTGTAAGTTTCTGTTTGAAAACAGTAAATGCAGGTCAAGTGGCCAGTCATATTATCCCCACATACAGATTTTCTCAAAGCAAATGTAAAAACGGTCAATGCTTTTAAAGCAGGGTCAGCAAACTTTCTCTATAAAGGAGCAGGCGGTAATCCTTGAGGCTTTGTGAACTGTCAGCTCTGCCCTAGGGTAAAGCTACCACAGGCAATGTGTAAACGAAGGTACGTCACTGGGTCACTGGGTGACACAGACAGACAGTAGTTCAGTTTTGTCCCTTGGGCAATAGTTTGCTGACCCTGAGTTAGCAAGTATATGGACCATATGGTCTAACTAGGAAAAACAAAAAGCAAAATGGATTTTACAATTGTTTACGGAATTGAAACTTTTTATACTGGAGCAGAGGGAGGAAAAAAATAGATGACTAAAGAAAAGAGTACTATAGCCAATAGTGTGGTTCAGGTAATTTAAGAATCACTTCAGAATTGACACTTTGAGGGGGGGAAAGCCACCTTCCTGCAAGAAGGCCAACTAAAGTTCTCCTGTAACAAAAACCTAAAGATGCTGAATAAATTGTACTTTTGTAAAAAGCCATAACAAGGCATTCCAAAACCTAGGAGAGAAAGACAAAGAAGATAATCTTCAGTTGCTAAAAAAACAAAACAAAAAAAACCCAGAAAATAAAATTGTAAGTGACTTTACATTACAGCGGGGGCTTATCTTGCCTGTGGTGTGTGTATGTGTTTGAGGAACACTTCGGGAAATACTTTTACTAGGACTCAGAAGGTTATTTTTTTTTTTAGGTTTATTCCCCTTAATGCCAAGATACCAACAGACAATACGAAAATGGCACAGGGCCCATCACGTAGTGGATGCTGTGTAGGGTGTGTTCCTGCAGAACCAAGGCACTCACACATCCCCCCCACCCGCCCACAGTGTTAGCAGCCAGGACTCAGAGCGGGTGTCACTCCAGGAATTGCTCTGGGCTAAATAGACTTGCCAAAGCTTTCACCTTCTTCAAAGGGTCAGCCTAAAACCTGTTACTAGACAAGGCAAAAGTTTCCATATTCAACACCTTTATGTCAGTTTGGGAATCCTCTGAAGAGTCTTCCGGCATTTTAAGGACCATCAGATGGTGCCCAGTTGTAACTGAATTGCAGTTTACCTTTCTTTCTGCTCGATCTTTCTTTCCTCACTTCTTTTAGGAATTGTTCTCTAGGGTCCATAAGTCACTGTCTCAAATTATTTTTCCAGGAAACTGGACCTGACACAGCCATCATCCAGCTTTATATATTAGCATTATTTCTTATATACTTAGATAATTCCCATGAACATTTTGGCAGATTAGCATATATTTATGAATCCATAAACATTATATAGTAATTTTGTAGTCATTTTAACTCTATGTATGGTATAATAGAATATATTCTGAATCATAATATTTTGTACTCAAAATTGTTTTGGGGCTTATATTTGCAGATATGTTTAGCTCTTTAAAATATGACTCAAAACAAATATGTCAAAATATTAAGAGCTCTGCCCAGCCAGTGTGGTTCAGTGGATTGAGCATCGCCCTATGCACTGGGGGAGTCGAAAGTTTGATTCCTGGTCAGAGCACATGCCCAGGTTTCGGGCTTGATCCTCGGTAGGGAGCCTGCAGGAGGCAGCTGATCAATGTTTCTCTCTCATCAATGTTTCTATCTCATCAATTTTTCTGTCTTTCTTTCCTTCTCCTGTCCTCTCTCTGAAATAAATAAAAACATATTTTTAAAAAATACTAAGAGCTGATACTTTTCAAACACGGTCATATACATCTCTGGTATATCATTTCCTCTGTACTTCTTTATATTGAATGCTTCAGGATTAAAGATTTTTTAAAAACGAAACTAGCTTAATTCAAAGAAAATGACAAATCTACAGTGTTCCTCCTCCACACCCATTGAATCACTTGAGTCCAGATTATACTGCACAAAAGCCTTTTGCAGCATGACTCAAACCAACCTACGTATCTAGTGCCATTGGCAGCTGCATGCTGGCCGGGTCTCCTGTTCTGGCCCATCGTTTTCAAAAGTATGTTCCATAGAAGGGTAGTCCTGAAAAATGTTTTAGAGAAAAGCTACTCATTGGTCAAATAATCCATTAATTATGCAAGCCATAGATCTCTTTTGGATGTACATTTGCTTCTCTACATTAAAGTCAAAAAGCAATTCTGCAATTAAAAAAAAAACACCTATTCAATTAAGGGTTATTTCCAAATTTTGTTTTTTCATTAAACATTTGCTTACGGAGTTTCTAATAAACTGCCCAGGGGATTAGCAAACTGTGGACACACATCACATTCACCACCAGTTATATTTTCTCTGTTCACTGTCCATCATCAAACATTCTATGAATTGCTGTCTCAAAGTTTTGCACTGTTACCCTGTTGAGTATGCTTTTTTAATCCACCCAATACAATGATTTTTGTCCTTCTACCACAATTTAATATGTCACCTCTACTGAGTGCCCAAAGCACTCCCTTAGCCACTAGAGAGGATCATAATTAGTTAGAAGCTCATAATTAGTTAAAAGCTCAGCTCCTTTAAGAATGGGTCTGTATTTGTTGTGTTCACTCTTAGTGTCTAACCAGTACCTGGCACATAGATGGAGTTCAATAAATGTGTATTGAGTTCCTGGTAATGCACGAATCTTATATTAAAATCACTTATTTATACATCTCTTCCATCAGACTGCAAGTTCCTCAATGGCAGGAATTGTAGCTGATTCATGGTTACATTTGCAGTCCTTAATACCATGTCTGTCATGTAGCAGATGCTCAAGAAATGCCATTTGAAATTTTGGGGGAGGGGAAGATAGAAAAAATGTGGAAGAAACTAAAAAAAAATCAACTATATGCAAGTCAAAATTGAACTATTCTTCTAAAAATATAACAGTAGAATAAGTAAAAAAAAAAAATTAGGTTAGGACAGTTAGCCTATTTCAAAGTAAATTATTTTTAACTCTTCCATAGAATTTTTTTCTCCCCTAAGGCTCTCATTTTTTATATAGTGACAGTGACTGAGCTGTCCCCTACATCTACTTATTCAATGTTAAGTAATCTCTATGTAAAGTCACCAGAGTCCCTGTAGAAGCTTACTGTTGACAAGGTCAGCCCACTGAAACCTCCTAATGGCCCATAGATTTCAAAGTATGTCGCCCTCACTTGAATCTTACATTGACTCTTATGGCCCTGGATTAGGCTAAATTCAAATTACAATCCTATAATTCAGCAATAACTCTTATTTATAATTTTTTCCTAAGATGCTATGAGTCAACTTAAATTAACCAAATCAAATTAAACTCACTTTAACTAAAGCTGTTCACGTAAATAAATATTATAAAGACCCAGGAGTCTCTAGTCCTCTAGATGAGATATTGG